AGTAAAAATTTCGATTTTTATATATTGATATATGCTTTTGTTACCAAATAAGTCTTCTAAAAATGACAAAAAAAGTTTTTTAACAACTGTCTTGTTATAAGTGATTGCTTTCAATGCGCTAATTGTTTTAGTGCAGGGCAATTTTAATGCTAAGTTCGTTTGCTTCAATTTATTTCCGTCGAATTCTCGGAACGGAAGTGAAATTCCCTGAACCAGATTCAGGGACTTCCGGTTTCTTCACAAATTCCCGTCAAACTCTGAGCAGTTAGCTATCAGCATTCGATACGTCGACAAGAACTGCACTTCTCAGGAGTGTTTTCTAGGATTTAGCGAATGCCTTCTTGGAGTTACTGGGAAGGCACTTGCTGACTCAATTATTTCCAACCTACAATTATGGAACTTTGAACTTCATAATTTACGTGGTCAAGCTTACGATGGTGCTGGAGCAATGGCTGGCACAAACAAAGGAGCTGCGGCACGACTATGGAAATATATCCGAAAGCCTTATATACACACTGTGCATCTCATCGCTTGAATCTGTGTATTGCAAAGTGCTGCAACATAAGAGAGGTTAGGAACTCGATGGAAATTGCAGATGAAATCTCGCGATTCTTCAAACAACTCTCCAAAACGTCAACTTTTTTTCGAAAGCTTTTTAGAAGACGAGCGTAAAAAAATAGCTGAAGAACTGTGTCGTACCCGTTGGGTTGAACGGCATGATGCATTTGAGGTGTTTATCCATCTCTACAAGCCACTGATTACCTGTTTAGAAGCACTGTCAGAGGCATCAGCTAGTGAGTGGAACAGAGAAACACGCCAAGAAGCGAACGTACTTTTTAATGCTCTACTAAGATTCCCATTGATTGTTGCTTTGATGCTTACACGAGAGGTCTTTCTCATGACCAAGGTTTTGAGCATCAAACTCCAAGGTTCCTATGTAGACATAGCACGTGCTCACAAGGAAGTACAACTTGTCAAACAGCAAGTGGAGCTGAACCGACACGAAATCGAAGCATATCACAAGCGCAAGCTAGCGCATATGACGATGCAGTCACATTAGCCAGGGAAGTAGGTATCGAAGAGGAAATACCTAGAACAGTAGCACGTCAACAGCATAGGGCAAATCCGGAAGCTAGAGATCCGTGTGAATACTTTCGACGAACGATTACCGCGCCACTTCTCGACCATCTTTCTTCTCAACTGCAAGATCGATTTGATAACAGCTTGCAGAACTCACTTCATCTTTCTCAGTTTGTCATCCTATTACCCAGTGAGTTGTATGGATCAGCAAAGAATTTAACTAAGAATGACATTAAAGACATCTGCTCATTCTATGACGAAGATCTTCCCTCTTCTTTTGCAGTTGATACGGAATTACAAGCTTGGTGTATTAAGTGGCATGGGGACAAGGAGGGAAAAGAATGCAATACAATCCCGAAGGCTCTTGCGAAAACAGAC